GTTTTATTTTGAGAATTCAAGCATTATTCTCCAAAGCAGATGACACCTCAGCAAACAAGCACAAACAAAAACAAACAGAAAAAGAAAAACCCGAAGAACTTCGAGTACTTAACAAAACTATAAAAACATTAACAGAAAGGCAACAGGAGAAGCTCACACACAGGAGAGGACACACTGTGCTTTTCAACAGTTCCCAGGCAAAGAAGACATGTCAAAGAAACCAGCCCTGAGAGCCTCACAGCAAGGAAAGTCCTCAGAGCACCATACTCTAATTCCCACACTCAAGAAGCTATGGGGAAAATTCATAAACAAGCAAAAAGAAGAAAATAAAGGTGTACAGAAAAATAAGAGGGGGAAAACAAAAATCAATTATTTCAAAAACAAAAAAATAAACCTTACCGGGCATGGTGGCACTCGCCTATTTTCCCAGCAGAGGCAAGTGGACCTCTGAGTTTGAGGCCAGCCTAGTCTACAGTGAGTTCCAGAACAGCCAGAGCTACACAGAGAAACCCTGTCTCGAAAAAAATCAACAAAACAAACACACACACACAAACTCTAAGAAGACCGACAGGTGTTTTGTCTCTTTGCTAGTTTTTGACACAAATTAACATCAGGAAAGAAGCTCTTAGTTATTTCTCTACTGTGGAGATAAAACACCAAGACCAAGGCTTAAAATAAAGTTACAGTTCCAGAGGGCTAAAGTTTTTGGTGGAAGAGATGGCATGGTGGTTGGAACGGCACTAACAGCTCAAATCGCTATCCTCAAAGGGCGATTTATTTACGGTTGACTTCAGGCTTCTGAAACCTCAAAGCCCGTCCCCAGTGACACACCTCTCCCAACAAGACACCTTCTAATCCATCTCAAACAGTTCCACTAACTGGGGACCAAGCATTGGAACGAGTCTGTGGGGGCCGACACAGGGGCTGTCACAACAAAGCCAACATTCACCTGAAACGATAGTGACGCTGCATGCTTTCCACAGCCGCATATCCAACAAATCAGAAAAATGTACCCCTTTTCAAAACCCACAGATGGGAGGCCGGCAACCAGAACCGTCCTCCAGGCACATAGACACACAAAATTAAGCCTAGAAGCTAAAATGTAGCCTCCCCCAAAGAAGTCTAGGACCACCCTCACAAGAGAATTTAATACTGGCTGAGACTTGTGGCTCTCGCTACCATGCATGACGCGCTGAGTGCTACAGAGCAGAGTGGCACATGCCTGTAACCGCAACAGCAGGGAGGTGGAGGCGGAAAGATCGGAAAATCAAGCACCAAGCACATCTTTAGCTACATAGTGAGTTCAAGGCCATCAAGGGCTACATGAGGCCCCATCTGAAAAAAAAAAAAAAAAAACAAACCCAACTCATTAATAGTGCCTTTTCATAGCTTTTTTTCTGGAAATACTAGAGGGTGAATACTTCTCAACTCATCTGGGTCTTAATATCGAAAGCGAACAGAATAAGCACCTTTCAAGGTGTAAAAAACATCTCCATAAAATATTCAATTCAATCCAGCATTCTACACAAATCATGTTCTGTCCAAGCTGGATTTATCCTGGGCATGTGGGAGCATTTGATAATGTTCAAACACGATAATGCACCATGCCAATAGGCTAACAGATTCCTAGTAAAAACCCTTTATTAAAACCTAACTGAAAATTCTCAGGAACTTAGGAGTTTGGTTAAGATTTCTTCATCTTTATTATCAATAAGTATCTGAACATACTTATAGCTAATATAGTTAATGATTTTGCTTTTTAGACAGAAAGCTTCCGTTTCTTGATACTACTTTTATCAATTCTATCCAACATAATTACAAAGTCTAGTCAGTGCAATAAGGCCAGAAAAAGAAACAAAACACTCCCTATGTGCAAGATGGCATGAGTGTACTTAGAGATCGCCCAAGAAATGACTTCATTTTCTCCTGCGAATCACGTTGCCATGTTTCTGTGTCTGTAATGGAAGCACAAACTCAAGAGGTCAGGGGACACCTTCCATCTCAGCACAGACATGCTGGAGTTAGATATGCTATCATATCCTGCTCGTGTGGGATCTGAGTCAAAGCAAATCACAACTCCCTGGACAGGCTTACAGTTAGAGCTCCATGGACTCCTGCCTGCTGTCAGGCAGTGCTGGCATCCGAAGGATGGCCTACGTCCCACAGGGAGCTCTCAACGTAAAGAAGGGGCCAACTGCCACAGGACGCTGAGGGGTGCAAAAAAGAACGGAATTAACTCCCACTCACGAATTCTGCTATGCAAGGAGCAAGCCCAATATTTAAGACATTCATAAACACCTCAGAGAGTCCTTACTGACAATCAATATTCATCTACTTTGCATTTCTGGTTCACACAGACTACGCCCCAGATTGAGAAGGGGTGCAAAAACCAAAAAAATATATGGCATAAAAACACCAGAGAAGGCAGCCAGTGGGTGTGGAAGGTTTTTTATTAAGATAATCACTTTTCACCAAAAAATGGTTGGGCAAGTCAATCCTCCCAGAGTAGATGGAGGCTAATAGCGAGGAGTAAAAGCGTAAGTTTACCTACACTGACCTCCACACAGTACACAAACGTTCTTTACAGATGTTTTCAGAACAATCGGCTACGAAGGAACCTGTGAGGGCATCTCTAAATACAGCATCTGCCTGCTGTTTATCTCCATTGAGACCCTCCTTTCCTATGGCAATAAAGATACTTGGGCCTGGGGCTCAGCTCTATGGGAGAATCTGCCTTAATGGAGAAAGCCCTGGGTTCACTCTCAACACAGCGGAGAGGGAGGATTCAAGAACATAGCTTTGAGACACACTGTATCTCCTACCGCAGCTTGTCAGTGGGGAAGAAGAGCCCTTGGCTGAGCAGGGCCTCTCTGTAACCTCCCGTTTGAGTTCCAGCGGTTCATGCTAATCATAAAGGCTCCTTTGTGAAAAATGAATTTTGCAATGACTTAATGAAAAGCAGCATTGAAGATCTTAATGGTCGAGTAAAAAATATTAAACAAGTTCAAAAAGATAAAGAGGCCATTTCTCAGCTCAGCGAAACCAGTCTCCAGGCAGAAGAAGTAAGACTGTGAGGGTGGCCAGATAAACATCAGTGGTGGACAGAAACTCTAGGTGAATTTAATAACCTCACACCTGGCTAAGTCCTCTTGCCCTCTCAGTAATTTCTGCCTCACCCCATCCCAACAGATCCTCTCCCCAAACGAATCTCTCAAGAAAATGCTGTTAAAAAACTACTCTGGTGCGCTAACTTCACACAGACCCCCGTAACTTACTGTTTTAATCCACGCAGTAACCTTCATGATAACACCATCCCAAACTACTGGAATGCAGTTAACACTTCACAGGTATGACCACTTACTCTGCCTGAGAATTCAGACTGTCATCTTTAAAGCCCCGTATCCGTCATCTCAAATCACAGCAAATTACACCGCAATTACCTTCCTCGGTAGTACAGGACCCGAAACAAAACAACTGTGACCAGCTTCACGTTAGAAACTGCACTAACTCATCCACAAGGGAGGAGAAAATATTTCCCCACATTACCCCTTCACCTGCAGAGACCATTACCCAGGCCAACAGTGTAAAACTCTAATAGCTTCCAGAGGGTTCTTAAAACAAACAGGTTCTTACGAGTACATACCAGGGAGCCCTGTTAACTCAGTTCATGCTGTGGATACACACAGGCCCTGGGCTATTTGTTTCCTGGTAGAGGGAGGCAAGTGCCTATTCAGAAGCACTTCTAGAGGCAAGAGCAAAGTAATTGCAGACATAGGACTTCCAGCTCCTTCCAGTTAGGATGCCTTAACCATCCCCAGAACACAGGCACCGCAAAGCCAACACGTGGCTTGGATACCAAATGCCATGAACAAGTTCCTGATGTCTTCTGCAGGTCCGGCTGGCCGGACACATACCAAACATGGTTGTGGATGATAAAGATCAAAATAACAGAGTTTTTCTTTCGGTGGAGAAGCACCCTTCCCTGGGGCGAGCCAGAAATGTGCACAGCTCAAGGCACAAGCGAGGAGGTCTAAGAGTCGTCTTGGTCTGCCTTTTAAAAGTGACTAAAGATCTAAAGTAGGTGTCAACGTGTAAGTTTTCGGACATTTGGCTTCAGAATCTTCAGGTCTGGTTATGATACAATGTAGAAACACTTGCACTGTAAGAATTCAGGACAACCTGACCACAGTCAGGGGCCACCTTAATGCTGATTGGGTAAACACTCTCCAAATGCCACTGTCCCCATAGCCCTGTTTCCTCATCATTTTTACTGTGAATCATCATGGATATTTTCTGCCACTCTTGGATAAGATTCTCACACTCCTCTGGGAGGAGTTAAGGGGAGAAGTTGCGGGAGGGGATGAATTTGATCTAATGGTATGCATGCATGAAGTCTCAAAAATAAAAAAAATATATATATTAAAAAATTCTAACACTGACTTTAGCCCCTGAAATTTAAAACAAAACAAAAACCCCAAAAACTACAATCTAATGTCATCCATTCATACAAAGGCCAACCCCTTGAAGCAAAAAAAAAAAAATGAGCTTCAAGAAGAATTTGGTCATAAATCCATCTTCAGGGGTCTGCTGATACACACTTGGTCTTTGCAGATGCTGTCTTCATAAATGTTGACTTGTCCATCTCCTCCTTCACACTCCTGGTACAGTTGATAAACTATTATGTATCTGACCAGGTCCCTTTCCAACACAAGGACATTGATACCTAAGCTTGGTGGTTACAACAACTGTACCATGGTTAAAGGTCACAGAGACAAAACTTTGCAGCTCGGTAGGGTTGATGTCTGTACTTCCATAAACTCATGCCACAAACTTTACAAATTAAAAAAAAAAAAAAAAAGTTGGGATCTCCACACATCTCCTGTTTCCATCAAAATATCGAATAAGTCAGTTGACTTATTCTACCAGGCTTTAAATGCCACCCACAGCCTTGAAACCGATATTCAAGCACACACACTGCCTTGTACCCAGCTATGGCTTACCCATTGCACTCAGATAATGGTTGAAGGCCTGGCAAGGAGGACTTGGGGTTTGTGTTGACTTGTCACAACTCATGGGTGCCGGGCTCCTGTCTGTGTCAAAAGAGAAATACCCACTGGAGGACCGGGACAGCAGAGAAGATCTTCTCACAAAGATGAAAAGTGGGGATCTGGTAGCAAAAGGGCCAGGGCTGGCCGGTGGGGCCAGCGGGCCCTGAGGGCTGCCGTGGGGGCAGCGGTCCCCTTCGCCGCCGTCGGGATTACCTTGCGGTTCTGTCTGTAGGGAGGTAGGGGCCCCAGGCCTAAGCTGGGGAGGCCTCTCAGCAGGCTGCAATTGTCCACCTTCTCTGTCACACTCAGAACTTACATCAGAAGGTTGCTTGGCCATTTGGTCTTTTTTTCTGCAAGAAAACCGAAGGGTGGGGTGGGGGGAGAGAACAACAAAAATAAGATTATCATCGGCAAATTAAGTTTTAAAATCATCTTATCCAGCCGCTAAGAATCGACCTCTGATTCTTTGTTTACTTTTCTGACTGTCTTCCACTAAGAGTAAAAGTTCACCCAAAATAACGAAGGTGTGTTTATTTCGGCGCAGGGTGGAACTCTATCAGGCCACCAAACAAAAACAAAGTATCGACTCCACAGCTTTCGGGGTTTGCGCGCCTGCACATATCCAAGCTCAGAAGTTTCACGAGAGGCAGCCCGTGGCAAGTCTACTACATTTCGTGCTTTTTCCTTTGGGACAAACTTGAATCAAGTCTGAAAGTCCCAGTGGGCTCTCGTTTCCCGGGCTCAGACGCGGCGCTGGAGCCCAGGAGCGGGCGCAGAAGCAGAGATTGCAGGCGGCTGGCCGCCTTCCCTGCTCTGGCCCCATTGTTTGCCGAAAATGCTGAGGGCAGCAAGTCTGGAGAAGGTTTGGCAGCGGCCGTCAGTCGTAGTAAGTGCGTCACAATAGAGTTTGTAACTCCGAGCGCAGCTCCGCCCGAGTCGGGCGCCCTCGGCCGCAAGGTCCCTCCTGCTGCCTGCCCCGCGCGCCACCCCGAGCACGAAACCACTTCTCTCGGATGCAGTCTCGCCGGGACGCGCACCCTCCTTCCAAACGGGGGCCTCCAGAGCCACCCACGGTCCAGCTCCACACCTAGCAGCGCGCGCTCGCCAGGACCCGGCGCTCGGCTGCTCCCACCCCCTAGACTCCTTCCCTCCCTGGGGCCACCACGCCGAGACTCACGTCCACCCCTTCCCTTCCAAGCGCGGCGTCCTGCGCCGATCGGAGGAGCCCTGAGCGCCGCCACCGAGGAGGCAAGGGGAACAAAGCCCGGCCCCGGGCTCCAGGGCCCCGCGCCTGCCCGTCCGCCCGCCGCCACGCTCCGCCGGGGAGCCCAAGGTTTCGCGCGCCGCGCCTCCGGCCCGCGCTGCTGCACCGGCCGCCGCCGGGATCATCCTCCACCTCCTCCCGCTCCGCCCCTCGCGCGCAGCTCCCGCCGCCGCGCGGGCACCGCCGGCCCTGCGCCCCTGGCGCCGGCGGCCGGGGCTCCCCATTGGCCCGCGCGCGCTCGCTCCTCGGCGCGCCCAATGGGCAGAGGCGGCGGGGGCGGCGCCTACGGGTCAGGCAGCCCAAGGCGAGGCGATTGTTGACAAACTCGCCGCCCAGCGCCGCTCCGGCTGCGCCGGCCGCCGCCGCAGCCCGGGCTGCAGCTTTAGGGGGGCCGGGCTGCTGCGCTCTCCGCGCCCGCCCCGCCCCTGACCCAGGCCCGGCCGCCGCGCGCCCTGCGGGAGTTCCCGCCGCCCAGGCAGCGGGACGTTTGGAGACAAAGCAAGACCCGCAGCGCCCCGGGAGCCGCGGGGCCACGACCACACTCCAGGCCGATCCGAGCGAAGACCCCCAACGGCCTCTCAGGCCCCGAGCCGAACTTCTCAGCGGCTTCACCTGCCGTGCCCCGTGTGCCACCGACACGCACCAAACACGAACGTCCGTCGCGGGTCCCGGGCGGGCGTGCACACCCAGACCCCCGTGCCCAGCGTCCAGTTAGCCCCCTCCACAAGCAGTGCCTGTCCCCCGGGGGGGCTGCCAGCCTATGTGACTGGGTCCCGGTGCCATCCGGCTCGGCGGAGCCGACGGGGCAGTCAGCTGGCGAGGGCTCGGAACACGCGTGGTCCCGAGAGGCCTGTAGGGTCTCTTGTCTGCCCCGCGGATACGGTGGCCCTCGGCATCCACGGGACGCTCGCAAACGGGCCGCCAGGGACATCCGGAAAGGCGAAATCGGCTCCTGCGGCCGGACTGTGGCTTCAATGAGGACTAGTAAAGTCTGGGCGCGTGGGATTTTTAATACTCAGACCTCCGCGAGGAACCCGCACCAGCGAGGAGCTAAATCTACCCGCCAGCCGCGGACGCGCGGCTGCTTCTCCCCCCGAGCCGCCTGGGTCGCGGTGGACGCACCGCCGGGCAGGACCTCGGCTCCAAGCCCAGACCACGCGCCCTCCCGGTACGCGAGAAGTGCCTCGGCGGCCCCCCTCGCGGGCATCCCGGGCCCGACCCGAACTCGGGAGAAGCGCCCGCAGCTCCTGCGCCTACGACCCTTTCCCAGATGGGCCCTGCCAGGCAGGGACCTCGGCCCGACCTGCAGCGTTCGCCTCCCAGCAGGCGCGCGCGCTCGGTGGAACGAGCCACTGCCTCGGCCCGCACGTGCGCCCCCAGGGACGGATGAACCCGCGGCGCCCGTGTTCCATCCACGCCGGGGTTCCGCGGGGTGTTTACCTTGCGTTTCTCAGTCCGAGAATCAGAGTCAGACATTGGGGGGACGAGGGCCAGGGGAAGGGCGCCGAGGAGGGTGGCGGCAGGAGCTGCGGAGGGTTGTGCAGATCCAGGCGGAGTCCGGCTCACGCGTAGCGGCTGCGGGAATCCGGCGGCGGAGGCGACGGCGACCAGGACCGCGGGAGCGCCAGCGGGCTGCTGACCCGGTGCCTGCGGGGAGCGAAGTGAAACCAGCCCGGCCCAGCGACTCCGCTCCTCCCGGGGCCCCCGCTCCCGCGCCCAATCACCGCGGGCTCCGCCCCCGCGCGGTCCGGCCCACGGCCAGCCGGAGAGCAGGCCCCACCCCGAGCTGCTGGCGCGTGCAGGCTGCGACAGGTACCGGGGAGGGTGGCCCCGCCGGCTTCCCTGCAGTTTGCGCGCGCGCCGCCCACCCCGGCGTGTTTACCCTGGTGACTTCGGCCCTGCGGGCAGCTGCGTGCGCGCCCATCCTCCACCCCCAATGTCCCCGCCCCTCCCCGTCCGCCCCTGGCGGCCACCTCGCCAAGCGGAACTTAGGGGGCGCTCGGGGCACGCTGCTCGGTGTCCAGCCTGGCCGCGGGCTCCAGTTGGAAGCCTCAGGAGGCGCCCCTGCGTCCCTGTTTGGCGGAGCTCCTCAGCCCCAAACCAAGGGGCCTGGATCGGTGCAAGGATGGGCACTGGCCTCTGACTGTCCTTTCCAAGAATTCGTGGCCTCCGGGGGACCAAGATCAGCAAGATGCTCCTCGGCTGCGCCTTGTGCGGGACCCTTGCGCGCCGCCGCCTTCTGTACTTATTTAGGCTTTCCCTGGTTTTGTGCGTGCGTGCGCCTGTGTGTGTGTTTTTGCTTTTTTTGTTGTTGTTCCCCCCTCCCCCCAGTGCTCAGTTACTTAAGAGGCAGAACTGGGGGTGGGACGAAAAGTTGAGAAAAAGACAAGGCAAGAGTCTAGGTCGACTGCTCAGCTTCGGGGAGCGATGGGCGTGCAGGACGAGCAGATAAAATAGAGGAATGAGAGAGTAACTCCAAAAGAATAAGGAAAAAGGGGGGGCTACTAAGGAAAGACGGTTGTGCCACACGCTGTGGGACTCTCGAAATTCACTGGGCTCCGGGTACCGCCGCCCGGAACTGTCTGTCCATCGGCCGGCTGAAGCTGGCGACCGCGCAGCAGCGGAGCTCAGAGCGCGCTTGGGGAAGCCATACGGGGGTCGGAAAAATCCCCTGATCCTCCTGGGGGCTTTCATGTCCCCCGACTGAAGTCTCGAAGTCAGTGGTGCCACTCAGCCTCGCCCCTCCCCCTCCCTCCCTGACCGCAGCAGCCCGGAGAAGTTAGTCTGGACATGGAACATCCGGCATCCTACGTGTGAGGATTAAAGGCACTCGATTAAAAGGCCACCCGACCTGAATCCGGGCTGGCAGCGAGGAGGAAGCGGCCCTTTTCACGGAGAGCGAGTTAACGCGGCCTGTCGGGCCATCTTGGTCATTTCTGTGTCCCCAGGCGGATCTAACGTCACCGTGACACAGCACAGCCCGGGTTAAAGTCTTGGTTCTCAGGTAAATCCTGAGCAAGATCGAAGAAGCCACTGGTTCCCAGGGAAGCTAGAGGGCTGGCGACAAAGCCTTGCCTCTGCCCGGGGCGTGAGGGGTGTTTGCTAAGAGGGCTCACGGGTCATCACGGGCGTGGATGCAGCCAAGCGTGCCGCAGATCCGCCAGAGCTGTGCGGCGGCCGCTCGGCATCCCTTCGGGGCGGCCCAGCCTGCTGGTGCTGCAGGGGCCCGCAGCCAGTAACAGTTCTGCCTGCCCTGGGCCCTCAGCGGGGAGCCAGGCGCCTCGGAATTGGACTAGAAAAGAACCAGACCCGGGGGGGGGGGGGGGGGGGGGGGGCGGAGTGTCCTCGCCCCCTGTTTCTTTGTAGGAGCAGGCTGCCCTGGAGTTTTTCGATTCTGCAACCCTGGGCGCACTGAAAGAAAATAGATAGGCAGCTGGGGGAAAGCAACGGGCTTGGACTGTGTGCTTAATTTAGGGCTGAATCAGGAAGCCGGCCTGGAGGCGGAGGCTTGTCTCTGCAGCGAACCAGGCAGTCTAGGTAGGGAGCGTCCACCGAGCGCCTCCCGTCAGGCCGCCACGGGCCCCTGGGCAGAGTCTGGAGAGCGCCTGGCGGCCGAGGAGGGCAGCGTGGAAAGGGCCAGCGGGTCACCGGTGCCTTCCGGAGGGAAGTGAGACGGTGGCAAGAGAGGAGAAGGAGACCGGGCAACGCCGAAGTCAGAACGCGAGTGAGAGAGCCATTTCCGCCCGGGTAATCTCTCCGGATTCCAAAACCAGTTTATTGCGGCCATCCCCCGAGGCCAGCCTTCCCTACCTCTCCGAGCCGCGGGGAGCACCTTTCTACCCCCGAATTTATTTAAACCCTGCATCTACACTTTTCCAAAGGGTTGCAGTTTAGTGCCGTGAACGGTCTGTCCTGCGTAGGGCCAGGACAGCTCCGGGCACAAACTCTGCTGTCTCTCCAGCGCAATCCCCACCCCCCACCTGGAGCAAGTCTGATTCACTAAACATCCCTCGTTGAACTTTTGCCCGCGCTTGGAGTGGGCGGAGCTTTCCTCCACCCCTTTCGCCTAAGGGTGTTTAATTTTTGTTTTGATTTTTTTTTTACCCTGGGCCAGAGTGGTGTCTTTTTTTTTTTTTTTTTTTTTGTAAGTCACTGGAAATCTGAGTGACAGCAGAGATCTTTGGTGGCACCGGGCTGTGGGTGAGACCACCCGATGGGGTGGGGAGAGGTCCAGGCAAAGGCCAGGCGAGGTTTACCAGGCCAGGATAAGTCACAGTGCTGCTGCGGCATCCACCTGGGGCTCCCTCTCCCGGGCAACCTGTCCTGCGCCCTGCTGGCCTTAGCCGGCCCTCCTCCCTCTGCCTGGACAAAATCCTCAAGGGTGGTTGCCCGGCACCTGCCCCTGTGGCCTCTTCTCCAGCTCCGGGTACTAGCTGGAGGACGGCGCCGGTAAGAGCCTGGCTCACAGCTTGGCCAGCTGGGAGCGTGTCCCTTCCTGCGCCAGCGGCTGCGTGGGCGCCGGGTAGAAGGCCCAGGCAGCCTGGGGGTTGGGGATCCCTGCGATTGGTGCGTGGATGTTGGTGTGCGGGATGTTGAAGGCGGAGATCACCTTCAGGGCATCATCCTTCACGGACTCGCACAGATCCAGCAGCTGCAAAACACGACACAGAGGGACAGGTCAGACGTGGGCGCGCTCACGGAGAACTTTCCGCCTGCCCCTCCTCCCCCGCCAATCAACCAGAAGCGCAAAGAATTGGGGTTCTCCACAATGTAAGAAGTTACTGTTTCTAAACACATCTCTGTCCCCGGGGTCCGGCCGAAATCTAGGTTTTTTTCCTGCAAGGGACTGAGGGTACCGGCTCTTTGCCGAGATAGTCCTGGTAACTAGCGAGCAAGGTCTGAGAATAAAAGCTGCGTCCTCTGCGCTCCCTTTCCTTCTTCCCGCCCTTCCTCGCTATCTCTGGAGTGCCACCCTCTGGCGCGCAGAGGCAACTGACAAAGACCTCTGAAAAAAAAAACGAGCAGGTGAAAGACCCGCCTCATCCCACCAGGAGGGTGCCAACACAGAGAGCGTGGAGAGCAGCCAGGGGGGCCCTTAGCCTGGAATGGATACCAAGGGAACCAAGGCTAGTATTGGTCCCGCTCAGGGCGCTCCAGCTGCGCAAAACGGACGAGTGGTCGACCCACTCTGCAACCCACCCAACAAGAGAAGAGGGGAGGCTGCAGGCCAGGGCTGTGTTTCTATTTCATTTTCTATGATTTGGACGCCAGCGCGCCCTCCCCGCAAAAGGAAGCCAAAATAAAGGGTTATTTTTTTTTTAGTTCTGAACATGGTCAGGGAGACCTGTTTTCCTTTTCCCAAAGCAGCTACATACTGTATTCCAACTTTTTTTTTTTTCAAGTCTCCATAAAGCTATAAATTTCTTTGACTGACTAAATCACAACAATCTCTGGGCTGCATGGTTTTATTTTCTTTTAATGTTTTAAAAATCACTTTTATGGACCCCACATTTATTGTGTGCTGTCCATATTTTAAGACTTTTTTTTCCTCCTGCATCAGCTCTCCCCAGAACATTTCAGGAACTCTCCGAAAGAAAGAGGGAGATGAGAAGGAAGAGTGGAGGGGAAGGCACGGTGCCCCATTGCACCAGTGACTTCTCTAATGAAAAGCTTCGTTCTTCACACACCGTGGTTGGGCATCATCAAATAAGTACTGAAAAGACTTTGATCACATTGGCAAGATGTGACAAGACAGACTGTCACTGACCAAGATCTCCCAGGTCTGTAATTAACACTTTTGACAAATCCTAACTAATCTGTCAACCCTCCATGTCTTTAACCACACGTTTCAAAACCATGAGATAGTATACACAGCTCCTGAGCTTGCCACACGTGCAATTATTCAAGATAATGTACCCTTTGGGTTTCATTAAGGGCAGCGAGGCCAACTCTCGTCATGTAGTCACCAATGAGGGAAGCTCATGCTGAAAGAAGGCTTGTGAAAGAATACTATGGGTTTGGTTTGTCTAGTGCTAAATATAGACCCAAAGGTCAGAGGTAGAAATTACAGAAAGTGATATCTATTTGCTATAAGGAGGAGTTAAAAAAAAAAAAAAAGAAGGGCCAAATGGCTAGTGAAGAAGAATATTTCTAGACTCATAGTTCTCCAGGAGTGACGCCCACCACAGACACTGGACAAGAGCATTGAACTGGCTGGAAACAGCAAACATTGACCAAGAGACTTTCTAAATCTCCAGTTCTGGTGCAGCCTAGAGCACCCTCCTTTCAACCTTCCCCATTTTTACTGCAACAGAGTCCAGAATGTGTAGATGGAGGGTGGGGCAGCGCTCCTCATACACACCTCATTCCCATCCGTCATACTTTGCCTGTTAGGAAGATCACAATCTTTCCCTCCTTTTGTTCACAATCTGCAAACTGTAGTCCTGTTCTGTGCCAGATGCCGTACAGGACTTGAAAAGCTTACACGCACACTGCAGACAGTCATGGCCTCTTAGGTCAGGGAGCTATTGCAAAGTTTCAGAGGCTCTAGAAAATGCAGCCTGAGCAGGGAGGACACTTGCTATTCTTGCAGGGGACCTGGGGTCAGTTACCAGCACCCACGTTGTGGCAGACAGCTGTCTGTAACTCCAGTTCCAGTGGACCCAGCACCCCCTTCTAGCCTCCCTGGGCACCAAGGGGGCGCACACGGTGCACATACATACAAGTAGATAAAGTCATAAACATAAAATTAAAATAAATCTTAAATAAAAATCCAATCTGCTTTAAAAAAAAAAAAAAAGTACTTGGATGGAGCCTGGAGAGATGGCTCAGTGGTTACCAACCCTTGCTGCTCCTTCAGAGAACCCAGGTCTGGCTCCCAGCACCCAGGTCAGGTGGTTCACAACAGCCTGTGACAACAGTTCCAGGGGATATGATGCCCTCTTCTGGCCTCTGCAGGAACTTGTGTGTATGTATGTATGTGGGGCACATACAGCCTAGCAAACACACAGAGACACGTAAGATAATAACTACAAATTAGAAAGCACACAGAAGCTAGTGTGTGATATACCATGTAACCTGGAGGAAGGGATTCCTGTCTTGTTTGTCTCCTTAGACCCACCTGCTTGCACTATTTGCTTTCTTCTCTCCTGTCTGACTCTCTCAGCACTGACACATCCAGTTAGGAAAAAGATAAGATGGCCAAGCACCAGCAGTCTCTAAGCTTGCCATTCAGCAAGGCCCTGAGCGTAAGAATTTCCAGGGTGTGAAGCCTCACCGCTGCCTGCACTCTGCATAGGTTTTCCTGGTTTGTATCTTGCCTCTGTTTCCAGCTCCAGATGTTTCTGGGGAAAACCCAAGCTGAAACGCATGGAGAGATGAATAGCTACTCGGATGGGTTCCTTTCCTTCTTGGATGCTGTGCTAGAGTCTTTATATCCATCCTGTGAGTTGGAGAGGCCACGTGGCTCATTTAGCGAGTAGAATGAGGAGACAGTGAATTCCACAGCAGAGATGTGATGAGGATAAAATTCAAGCTACTAGTGAAATGAGGTTTCTGTATTACTTTTATTTTGTTTTTAAGACAGGGTCTTACGCTGGCCTGGAAATCACTATGGAGAACAGGCTATTTTTAAGCTCACGGACATCTACCTGCCTCCACCTCTTGAGTACTGAGATTAAAGGTGAGGACCATCATATCTGGCTTCTGTATTATTTGTGGCTATCACGTAATATCTTTGCTCCTACTATGACCCATAACTGCTACTCTCAACCAGAGCCTTTTTCTGGCTCATTCCCTACCTACCTATCTCTCTTGAAGGTTTGTACCTTGTTTAATTCTGATTGTCAGCTTGGTTGGATTGAGAAACATTAAGCTGGGCAGTGGTGTCAAATGTCAGCACTCAAGCAGCAGAGACAGGTGGATTTGGGAGTTCAAGGCCAGCCTGGTCTACAGATCGAGTTCCAGGGCAGCCAGGGCTACACAGAGAAACTCTTTCTTGCAAAAATAAACAAAACAACAACAAACCCAAAACAAACATTAAAAAAACAAAAGAATGATTCTTGATATCAAATCTCAGGCCTCTACATGTATGCCCACACACAGGTGTGCTTGTACACATGTAAAAACATGCATATATACATACATGCCACACACACACATGAAAATGAAAAAAAAAAGGTGATAAGATGATGATAATGGCGATGATGTTGATTTGTGATCCATAGGCTTAAACCCAGGATTTCATGTTTGCCAAATTCTTCCATGATTATTAGCATGGATTCTCTAGTTAGCAATAAACATGATTTCTTTATGCTCTGGCATTTCCTTTCCTGAGAGTGCTTAATCACCATTACCTAAAACAAGAGTGCTGACACAGAGGCATCGATTTAACCACTTAATAAAAGCGTGTGACATTGATTCAAACTGCTGCTGATTCATAAGAGGAAAAGTTTCTAAAGAAGTCAAGTGCACATAGCTTTCCCTTTAGAATACAGGAAACCATATGAAAGTATTGGCAATGGAATTAAAGTAACCACAGGGCTGCTCTTGGTAGCATTTTTAACAGACAAAGGCATTTACACAAAACGAGAGAGAATATTCAATTAGGTGGTTATCACGGAGCTGCAGCATTAGTTTCACACCTCTTAATACCAAAGAATATGGTATTTTAATTAACTGATGGTCTAGACTGATAAGTACATAACCAAGAGGGAGTGATTTTCAGTCACAAAAATTTCTTCAAGGGAAAAAGCCTCACAAACTGCCAGAACTAAATACAGCCATCCCTTTGATGTCTTCAGGGAGTGCTTCTGAGAATAGGACATGTAGGCCTAGGATTTTCAACAACCCACTTTATTTAGGGTTCTTAAATGCCTCTACTTCCCTTCCAACCCCCTGACCTTAGGTAGGAGAAAAAGCAGTTAGAAGGGATAAGGAATGCAGACCTCTCTAGCTACTTCCTGCTGGTTTGGGGTGTTGGGTTTTGGGGGCAATAGCAATCTCAGTCATCAGCATTCCAGAAGTCCAGCTAAACAGCAAACCAGCAATCCAGCAAATACAACAGCAACTTCAGCAGCAACCTCCAAGCTCTCTCTGGAGCGTTTCTCTCTAGGAGCATCTTGAAGCAATGTGAAGAGAAGAAGCCAAGAGATGGAAAATGATGCAAAGCCATCTCTCTTGGTTTTGAGGCTATGCTATACCCTCACAAAGTCCATACTGGATGTTTTTCAGCTGACAAAAACCATGCCCCCGCATGAGGCAGTTCCCAACTGACAAACATCACACACCTTTTCAGGGGCTGCTTTCAGCACAGGATAGACCAAAAACATTTCCACATCCCATACTTGGGATCCAAACAAAATCATGTTTACATCCACTGCTTTCTTCCGGATACCAAAATGGACAGGTGCTTGTGTCTTTCAGCTGGAATGCCATTGTGTTTGCTGTAGTGTTCGCAGGCCCTTCAGGTCTCCCTGTGCTTTACAGCCTCACTACTCTAATACTCAACACAAGTGCTACAGCAGCATCTGGAACCGGGCCTCAGGTCTCTCAGGCCTAGCTATTTTATCTCACCCTTTGCCGTCTCTCCCATCTGGCAACCCCACCCTGCTGTCTGTCTGCATTCTAGACAGTCACTCACCCCATGTGTGA